TAACATGTTAGTTACGTTAGATATACTCGTCGAAAAAAATTCTACGGAAAAAAATCCACCGGCATACGCGATAAAAAAAACCACGAAAAAAATGAAAATCCAAAAGTGAAATAAAAGTAATAGAAAGAAAAAAAAAAGAAAACCTACCTAGGGCTGCGTGCGCGTTGCCGGCACGCACACGCCAACTAGGAAGCCCCGAAGAGTACCTATAGTTCAATCTTCATCCGGTAAAGCATGGCACGCTACGGTTGGGACATACCATCAAAATGAGCATAGAGCTGGAGATACTAAAGAACCTGGACATTTTGGTTTACGAAAAATTGTAAAACTTGAAGTTTCATATTTCATCCTATAAGTCATTTTATTGTAAATACCTAGTTATCTATCTCAACTTAGTTTTGTTGAAAAACCGCACACATGCTTAACTGAATCAGCCCGTTATCGTTGATGTAGAGTTATACCACTAGCTAAGTTAGTTGAGTTAATTTTGTCCAAGTGCTTGAATTAGATTTATTTTTCATGTTTGGTTGAACTTTATTTTTGCGCATATAGCGAAACTAAGTATCATAATGTTTAAGCTCTCACTGACAAAATGACTTATAAGGTGGAATATGAAACCTCAAGCGACTTATGAGGTGGTTTTTGTATTTTCCCTTGTTTTTTTTTAAAGTTGCAACTAAGCATAGGAAGAACTACAGGAAAAAATGTACAAAATTTTTGACAGGAGCAGAAGGCCTAATGCACATACGGCAAAATAATGAATTTTGACAGGATCTGGACCAAGAATTGTTAGACTACTCTATAGGGGACAAATAGTTAATACTCCTGCTTTTACCACGGTTTGCTATTCTACATTGTTCTATTATACTCCCTCCATCCCAAAAATAGAGCTATTTATGAAGTTCAAGTTTATTTCTCCATCCACCCCTCATCTCAACTAACGAGAGTCATCCACTAGTACAGAAAACATTTTCCTGTGCGATCAAAATCGATTTTTCCATACGGAGGTAGCGCCCGTCTGCACCCATATGTCTGCGAAAAATCAACTTTATCTCGTGCGGGCGGCCCAACCGCACGGGATCAGTCAGATTAAGTGGACCGCACGAGATATCTCCTATTTAATTCTTCACAGCTTTCTCATCTCAGTCATTCACAATCTTCCACCACCATTCATCTTCCACCCCCATTCAATTTTACCTGCTTGCTTAGTTCCAATGAAACCATCTAAAATCCATCTAAAATTTCTTACATTTTAGGATGGGGAGAATATGGTTTAAGTTTTTATAAGACATAGATAGTTTGTTGGTTTGTTAACAGACAGTCGTACAATCATTAAATGCAAACCTAAAACAAATAATTATACATACAACCTATTGCACTAGTTGTCATATATCATCTCAGAGTCTAAGCATGACAAAAAACTATGAGCATCACTACGGTACTTTATTGGTAGTACTCTTTCTATCCTATATATATTATAGGTCTAGTTATACTCGGCACGGTATCCAAAACTAATGTTTAACTTATAATTTTCCATATACAATAAGTTCTCTAACAACAAAACAACAACCATATGAAAATAAATTTAAATGTCAATCTAACTGATAGTTTTTTTAGCAAATATAAATTCACCTTATATTATAATAATTTTTCGTCAAATGTTTTCAAAGTTAAATCTAAAATACGCGCGTGTGCTACGTTATTGGATTGAGAGAGTATTATATTACCAGTATAATCGATCTGAACCGATGTTTTGTAAGGGCATTTATTTTATTCATCTAGTGATTAGTGGTAAGGTTGGTATTTAGGATATTATACATCCTTAAGAAAAAGTTTTTATCTACTTAGATAGTATCGCTTGGGTACTCGCACTAGTAAAAAAAATTATTTGTTCAGATGGGCCAAAATTAGTTTTCGTGTGCGGACCTCCGGCCCATCTACGAAAATCCAATTTTTTCATGCAGATGATTATGTCATCCGCACGCGAAGACAAAAACCCAAAAAGAAATAAAAGTCGCATCCTCGCCACCGGATCCGGGTGACCCTGTCTGTCCGCCGCCGCCAGTCTCCACCCGTCGCAGCGGCCGTTCTCCTCCTGCCACCGCCGGATCTGTGTGGAGGATGGCTGTCGACTCCTGCCGAATTCGTTGCCGCCCACCCGCCACCGCATGTACGCCGCCGTGCTCCTCCCGCCACCGCCGCTGCCTTTGTTGCTTTCCAGTCGGCTGCCGCCACTCGTCTAGGAGAGAGTTTGAGAGAGAGAGAGAGGAGTATGAGGAGAGGAGAGGAGATGAGATAACTAGATAAGTACAAGTATGAGGTAAGGTGAGAGGGGATGATTGAAAAAATTGAATTGTTAAAGATGAAAAAAAGGAGGAGGTAACTCAGACATTTGGATGGACCTTTAAGAGGCCCGTATGGAAAAGTTACCCGGTTTTTTTGCATATGGCTCCCTAGGAGGGCCGTCTGCGAAAATAAATTTTCGCGTGCAGTTCTCTCAAGGAGTCGTATGTGAAAATAGGGGACCGAATTTTTTCAAACACGGGCACTTATGATAGGTCTGCAATCTATTGCGGCGGCTCCGGTGGTCACGCTCACACGGCCGTTCTTTTTCACTTCTTATCCTCCATTCGTTGCACCGTTTCAGACAGGAAGTACTCCTAGAAGATATAAATTGTTGGTCAGCAACTGTAGCCTAGTCGTTGGCTTAGTAAATTTCATGCATAATGTTCAGCCCTGATTCTTTCCGCAGGCAGGAGATTGCCGACCGTAGACATAAGCTACCATCGATAGGTGATCAGCCGCCGCCATCGCCCGCGTCTACGCCAGCATCATGTACGCTCGGCCCAAAAATCCCAGGGTTTCTAACTGATATGCAAATTTACAAAATCATCATTCATGTTAATATGATAATAGTGTAAATAGAGAGCACAGTAATATATGATTAATTGAGTATTAATTATTTCAGATTTTAAAAAGGATTAATATGACTTTTTTAAAAATAAATTTTATATAACATTTTTTTTCAAAAACATACAGTTTAGCAAGTCGGAAAGTGAGTGCGTAGAAAATAAGAAGTTTTTCTCCCAATGGGCTACTGCCGAATGCTAATGTTCGAACAGAACTAAAGTAGAAACTGAATTATCTGAATTTTCCTGGCATTTGAGACAGCAATCAAGCCTGTGTACAAGTCCTTTACACATGCCTGAAATTGTGAGACACTAACAACCCAGTCCATGAAGTCCACCAAAAATACGCATGAGTACTACTAAAACATTTGGACAGCAGTGACAAATATAAGAATTTGAACTTTGTCAGAACATACTACCGATGGCCAAGGCCAAATGTTTCAAGTTTTTCGGCTTTGTCATGTCTAAGGTCAGAATTAAAATCACATTTACAAAAATATAAACGGAGGAATCGCTTTTTAAAGACCACTTAGATAATTTGTACAGTAAGAGCAGAGAAATCGAGTGCACCAAATGCTTAGATCCCATTTGGAAGAGAACATTAAACTCTCACGTGAGCCTGTTGAAGTCCAATTCCAAACAAAACTTTAGTATTTTCATCGCAGTACATAAACAGAAGAGAAACAGACACCTATATATAACAGGAATGCAGAGCTAGCTGGAAACGCTCCGGATAGGCACGGCAAATATCATATGGACCTCTTTCTTCAGTTGGAGACAGTGTGACATATGCAAGTCTTCCCTCAAAACATAGGATTGGTAGGCACCGGGAACTCCTTGAGATCTCAAACACAGAACCTTAGCCATCTAGCTAGTATGATAGCAGCAACGCAGCACACAGTTTCCTGCCTCATGACTGTTTTCAGCTCCAGCGTGTGATCTCCATGGAGCACCTGGAGGAAAATTGGCTGCAGACCTACAATAAAAGACCAGTTAAAATTTAAAAAGTTCAGAGTACAGATAAACCTTTTTAGTCAATGTCATCTCCGTAGTATTTGCGGCGAATATTTGTTTTTTCATTATCTAAAGGAGCTGAAAATGCAACTGCAAGAAACTATTACATGGCCAGCAGCTTCTACAGCACTGTGGCCGACATGTATCCGTGGATCCATAGTAAACTCCATTCATTTCATCAGAATCTAATCTCTCTACAAGAAAAATGTTCCTCCTCCTAATAGTAGCCAGGCACAAGAAGACACAGCCTCAACACCCTGATACCATAATTCAACTCTGGCAGCACATGGGCTGTTTGCAGATACCCGATCTCCAGCACAGGGGTGCAGCAATGTGTGGAGTAGTTAAGCAGTTAAATGATCCTACAAAGAGGACAATTTATTTATGTTGTCAAAGTTAGTACAAGAAGTAGCAATATAATGTGTGGAGCAGTTAAATGATCCTACAAAGAAAAAAAAATTATGTACATGTTGTCAACGTTTGAACCAATCATATAATATCCCAGCTACTTTTTCTGTTTTTTAGGAACACATAACAGTAACAGCCCCACTTAACAACTCCATTATGTATTTTTTCATAAATAACGACTCCATTATGTAGTAGTACCCCAAAAACAGTCAACAAATGGTCCCAACACTAATACCTTCATTAAGAAGCAAGAGGCATAGGAATTACGGTGTGACAAATGTTTACCACTGTTACCTAACAAGGACCAGGCTGGTGTTCACAGAACCCAAAGCAGAGCTTGAACAAAGAGCAATAGGTTAAACCAGAAGCATTCAGTGAGAATTCGAAAAAACTGCAAGCAGAGGGATGCAGCCAAGCATGCCCTACCATCTGAAAGTCCATGCACTGCTCACACAGAGTCAAAGAAAGGATGATTAAGATCCCAGAATAGAATTTTACTCCATAAAACTTTACCTATACAAGCTAACCACTCCAAAGCAGAGGTTTGCTTAGTGCACATTACCTCTACTGTACCAGTCTACAGAAGCTGGATGCATGACAGACAACCATGCAGTCCTGCAATGCAAAACGCATTATCACAATCCATCTGCTCCCAACAACTCAGAAGATTCTTCATTCTTGTTCTCCTCCCCCTCTCCTAACCCCTGCTTCAGCAAGGAGATGCTCACCTTCTCCACTTCATCCTCATCACAGCCACATTGCATTCGCAACCACTCCACCATCTCTCGCCGATGGAGCAGGCACGCGTTGGCTCAGCCATGATCTTCCTACTCCTCGCTTTCCTGTCAGAGGTTTCTGCATCCATATCGCAGCAGCAGCAGCAGCAATGCGGTGGTGCATCGTCTGCAGGAGTGAGAGCTGGCTTCTGGCTGCCATCCTCGAGCCACTACTCGCCTCTCGGCAGCATCGACACCTCGCTGTACAGCCATCTCTACTACAGCTCGCTCTCCATCGACGAGACCCGCTGCGCCGTCGCGCCGCCGTCCTCCGGTGAAGAGAGCTCCATTCTTTCCAATTTCTCGAGCAGCATCAAGTCCTCCGGTGGGGGTTTCGCTGTCAAGACCATCTTGTCCATTGGCACGGATGAGTTCAGGGAGGATGTGTCCAATGCCGCCTTCTCCAGGATGGCCTCGGAGAAGAACCTTCGGAGAGCGTTCATCAACTCGTCGATCGAATTGGCTCGTGCCAATGGCTTCGATGGCCTCGACTTGGCGTGGAGGTTTCCCGCAACGCAGCTGGACATGGAGAACCTCGGAGATCTTCTCGCGGAATGGCGAGCCGAGATCATGGAGGATTCGACGACCAGATCGACCGAGCCTCTCCTGCTGACGGCTACTGTTTACTTCTCGAACCACCTGTTCGGCATGGCCGACACTAACCTCAACTACCCGATAGACGACATGTCGAGCAGCCTCGATTGGGTGAACATTATCACGTTCAGCCTGCACAAGAACAGCAACGTCACCACGGCTGACGCGCCTCTCTACGACAAGGATTCTCACTTCTCGGCTAGCTATGGTGTCATCTCGTGGCTGGATGCAGGGCTCCCTCCATGCAAGCTTGTGATGGGGATACCTCTGTTTGGAAGGTCTTGGTTCCTCAGAAACAAGGACAAGAACGGGCTAGGAGCACCAACTGCAGCTGCTGGAACAAAGCAGAGAAAGAGCAACCAGATCGGCGTAATCGCGTACGCAGAGATCGAAGAGTACCTGAAGTCTCAGAGTGTTTTTGTTACTCATGACAACCAGTCAGTGGCAGACTACTTCTACAGCGGTGATCTCTGGGTCAGCTTCGACAGTGCCGTGGTTGTGCAGGAGAAGGTGGAGTTTGTGGCGAAGTCTCAGTTGCTTGGGTACTTCCTCTCGACCATCAGCTTTGATGACTCAAACTACACATTGTCCAAGCAAGGTTAGTGATTGTCAAATTCTCATCACAGATGTAATTAAATGCCTCAGCTAATCCTTCCAAATTTTGTAATGCAGCATCACAGTCCTGGAATCAATATCATGTTTCTTCATATGCGCAAGGTAGTTTTGGAATTATGCAAGAAGGAGCTATAATCCAAGATCTGCATGCATCAACAGGGTCACCAAGTAGTTGGTATTCAAAAACTCTCAGCTACTTGTTATTGTCAATAATACTTGTATTGGAGGTTCTATAATACCAAGAACAGCCGTAATTTGTAAACAGGCCAGATTGCACAAATAGTTTCAGATGATAAGGCTTATAACACTACATTTATGAACAGATGCTCTGTTTTATGCCTTCCATGTGGTTCAGAGACATTATCTGAAGTTCAAATAAACAGGTTGCACAGATCATGTACATTACCAGGACTTTTCAAGTTTTACCAACAAGTGAGGTTTTGAAAAGAGCTATTTGATTTTACTTTCCGGCTTATGTTGTTGACTTCTTCTTCTCATAAAAGTAAAATCAAACAGATTTTTTCCGAAACCCCACTTGTTGGTAAGACTTGAAAAGCCCTGTTAATGTACATGTCCTGTGCAACCTGTTTAATGTCCTATGGGGGTTTCATCCCTCATAGGGCGTTGATGGGCATTGATCAAAATTTGCAATACGATTTTTGATGGCTTATGTGGGTGGTCTTCGACAATCACAACCTCTGATCTCCGGAAGCTGAGCCAGCTTGTGTGGAAGAAGACCTTCTGACATTCTCGACTCCTAGTGCTTCGAGGTTGCATGTGAAGTAAATGGTGTTAAGCTAGCGAGCTGGTTTAGTTCTCATTAGGAGTTTGGTTATGTGATCTTGTTGGTGGAAAACATCAGGCACCTCCCCCCCTCTCTCTCTCATTTCTTTTATGCCCCCTTTGATTCAAAAGAAATTCATAGGAATTTTAGAGGATTTCATTCATATAGGAATTTTTCCTACAAAGCTCTTTGAATTAAGGAATGAACCCTATGGAATTTTATGAAATTTCTACGGAATGTCTCTTCCCATATAAATTTTGGAGGAAATTTAACAAGAGGTAGAACTCATGGAAAAAAATCCTGTCTTTATCTCTCCTCAAATTCCTGTGTTTTTCCAGTGGTCCAATCAAACAATCATTCCTACGTTTTTCATGTCGGAATTCTATGTTTTTTTTATTCCTCTATTTTTTTTTTTCATTCCTGTGATTCATAGTGGCCCTTAGTGCCCTTGGGGGTGGTTGTGTTCCCCTTTTGGTTTCTCTTCATTGTATTCCCTCGTGTACTCACTCTCTTATTCTCCAAGGCTCATGCGCTTGCGCAATCGGAGTTTTCCCCTATGTAAGTTCGTTTGATGCAATATATTCAGGTGGGCAATTCCCCCCTAGTGACCCGTCAAAAAAAATATTGTTGACTTTTTAGCAAGCACCAATTCTAAAAGATATATATATCTACAAAGCTATTGAAATGTGCAAGAGATTGTGTCATAGATAGCCGAGATGGCCTAAAGCAAAAGATCATGGTGTTGATTGGTTAAGAAGATCCTCATCATGACACTGCTACTAGAACTCACCATGTCCCCTACTCTTTTTTCCAGTAGGGAATGAGCTGAAACTAGTAGGGAAACAAGCTCCCTAGGCTTTTTCATAGGGAAAACTTTCATGGGATATTATTCACCGGGAATTAGATGTACCTTACGATTTTAGTTGTGAAAGCGCAGGGAAAAAAGGTTCCCTGCGGTTTGAAATGGTAGAGAACTAGGCTTACATGGCATTATATTCAGTATGTAAAGTGATTCTGATTCCCCCAAGGTTTCTAAAACTGTAGGGTTCCAAAATAGAGAGCTTGCAGCTAGCAATATAACACAAAACTATCCAAGAACAAAAGAAGCTGCATTCAACACTTGCATCAAGGTTCACACTTCAGTGCAATTCTTCCAAACATTCTAAGATCAAAATGGGCCAAGCTCTTCCAAAGAATTCCAAAGGACACCTGCAGGTCGTTAGAGTATAAGTGTTTTAGATTATATGTTGAAGGGTATTTTAGTCGTTTCACTTTCTTCTTGTACACAATATATCGCTCTTTAGAGCTAACTCAATGCAAAGATTCATTCTCCAATTTCCTCTAAATTGTGACATGGTATAAGAGCCTTACACCTAAATCTAGCCACCAAATCCCCATCGCCGGCGCGGCGGCTCGTCGTCGTCACTGGTCATCATTCGTCATCTTGGTTTCAGTAGCAACAGCAGTCAGTCGTCATCTTTGTCTTCAACCAGCAAAGCCTTTGGCGGCCATCGCCGACCAGCCTCCATTACCAGTCGTCGTCTTCGTATTTGAATCTTCAAGCAACAGCAGCCGCAACCGAATCAGTCGTCCCGCGCGGTCCTTGTCGCGCGCCCGTCGTGGCTCCACATCTCGTCAGTCATCACTGCCAGTCGCCGTCCATTGCGGAACCCCCTCGAGGCTGCTCCATCATCGCCGGGCCATCCGTGCTGCCCCAGATCTGGGGCACTGCATCATCGATTGCTCATCTCTATGCCTGATCTGTTCCGCATTTGTTGTTGCCGGCTGTAGTCGTCAATCTGGGTCCTCCGTCGCCTGCGGTTTCATCTCGTCACCGCCTTCCTCGGGCTCCTGCGCTGAGCACGTCGGCCGGCCTGGGTACCACTCTGTTCTGCAACCTTTGCTCTTTTGTGTCTTTGTCGTCAGCTAGTCACATTCATCTTCAAGCAGCATCAATAGCAGCAGCCAGCAGGCCGATCCTCTGCTTGCTGTCTACAAGCACAGGCCCTCATCTGGCCATCTCATCTACTACAGCTAGCATTCACAGCACCAGCCCTCATTGTGTCATTCTTTATCGAGTGGTGAAAAGTTTTGAGGTGTCACATCGAATATACGGACACACATTTAAAGTATTAAACATAGACTAGTAATAAAACAAATTACAGATTCCACTTGTAAACCGCGAGACAAATTTATTAAGCCTAATTAATCCCTCGTTAGCATATGTTTACTGTAGCACCACATTGTAGCACCACATTGTCAAATCAAGAAGCAATTAGGCTTAAAAGATTCATCTCGTAATTTACACACAATCTGTGTAATTAGTTATTTTTATTATATTTAATACTCCATGCATGTGTCCAAACATTTGATTTGACACGGTGAAAATTTTTACCAGAGGATCTAAACAGACCCTTCGCTTTAGTTCTTATGCTTGCTTGCCGCTGCTATGAATATATCTACTAGTATCAGGTGCCTTTTGCTACTATGCTGATGTAATCAATTTCCTATGTGTCGAGGAGTGATCCTCTCTAGCGGGAGGTCATGAGACCCCCCCTTTGTGAGTTCGGCCGGGGAAGCGAGTGAGATCCGAGGTTCCTCGAGACAAAAGAGACACGAGGGATTTATACAGGTTCGGGCCGCTATGAAGCGTAATACCCTACTCCTATGTGTATGATGATTCTTCTATGCTTGCAAAGCCACTGAATCTCCCATGTACAAGCTGGGTTAGAGAAGCTTTAGTTTAGGGATCCAGAGTCCGATCCCCTCTCTCGCTAGGCATGGTCCTCCTTTTATACTCTAAGCGTGTGTTTGGTTCTGGGACTAGGTGGGATGGGATGAAACCATCCCTGATTTTAGGATTGGGATGATTCTATTCGGGTGTTTGGTATGTAGAATAGGACGATCCTAGTTTTTTGTTTGGTTGAAGGAACGAGGGAGGGATGGGATGAGCGCCATTTGCAACCACCGACAACGCTGTTTGCAACAACCATGGTCGACGCCACCTCTGCTCACCTCCGGACGTGGTCGCCGCCGGCCTCCTTGATGGCGTCGATGAGCTTGGTCTGGTCGGGGATATGGGTCGCGCGCACCGTGGAGATGACGGCGTCGGCATCGCAGACGAGCGGGCGGAGGAGCGCGACGACGACGGACGGGATGACCCAACCGAGCACTGGCGGCGATGGTGTTGGCCTTCGCGCAGAGCAGCCGCGGCTCGGCGACGACGACGACGGCGAGGTCCGCGCGGGAGAGGGAGAGGGAGAGGCCGGTGGAGAGGAGGGTGAGCACGGCCACCATCGCGGTCAAGCGGGTGGAGAAGCGCGACGACGCACGGTCGGCCCGCCGCCAAGTTCCCTGCCTCCGCGCCGCTACCGCATGTGCGCCGCTGCCGCATGTGCGCCGCGCCGTCGCGCGCCATGGTCTCCGGGTCGGTTTGCGCCGTGCCCGCGCGCACCGGCCACGAGCCCCCGCCGCCGTCCGATCTACCCTTGGGTAGATCGGGGCCATCGGTTCGGCCGCCGCGTGGCGCGCCGCTCCTCCCCGGTCCGTGGACCCGATCCGCCGTGGACCGCCCTCCCTGAGCCGCTGACCGGTGGGGCCCGCTTGCCGGCGCCCCTTCCTCCCTCTCCCGAGCCGCTGACCGGTGGGGCCCGCATGTCGGCGCCGCGCCCCGCCTTGATGACGTCTGCCCTGGAATATATTGCGCAATAAATGATTTAAGGTTTTTCTTGTATAGTAATAAACACAATGAATCTTCTAAAATTCATAACTAATTCATCCGAGCTCCGTTTAAGCCCATTCAAGTCTCAGTAAATCAAGAAAAATGTGTAGAATCCATTAAAAATAGTTTTGTCCCCTGTTTCAGTAGTCTTATAGCCTGTTTGCAATGTTTGCCTTGTATGTCGCTAGATTCCGGTTCCTCCGACGCTCCGGTGTACTTCGAAATAGTTGCCGAGATTCCTCCAGCAGCAGAGCAAGGCAAGTCATGCTTGTCATTTGAACATGTTGATCCTATATTGCAAATGCTCTAATGTTTTCTTTCAAATATTGCATTGTTTTATAACACTACTATGGGTTGTTTACCTATTGTCATAGCCATGCTATTGATGTACCATGTTTCTTTGTCAGCTTGGGGTTATAACATGATTAGAGTTTGGACTAGGGATTGCTTAGCCATGCTTAGTTCAACTAGTTCACAATGGGGAAAAATCCTATTAATGTTTAGACTGTTGGTTCTAAGGGTTTTGTTGGATTAGTAACACCGCTTTGGTGTTGGTTAATTAAAATAAATCACATGGTGGGCTGTGGGTGCATGGTTTTGCTGGTCGCACCCATGGCAGTTAAGGACCGGTTCGCGGGATGCCCTGGAAGAACTTATCGTACTTACCACAAGCCAGCGTGGGCAACGGCTGGGCTTGTAGTGTAGCTCTCCTCTAGCCGACGCATCCAGGCAAGGGTGGGCGTGATGGAGCGGGGCGGGCCCTGCGACGGCCTCTGTCGCTTCCGGATTCACCTAGGCACGAGAGGGGACTGCCCGTTGCCCGCTGGGGACGGGGGTGAAACCTGAGGT